CACAAATAGAAAATGACATCATGTGATGTCAACATAAAAGATGAATTTATTCTTAACGCCTACTTGTGTGGTGCAATGGGATGATAGATGGCATGAGTAGCAGTGAACTATCAGCTCTAACACTGTGTCAACTTCTTGGCTTGTTGTTTTTTGGGAGGGAGGCAGAGCGGACTTTTCCGCCTGTAGCACTGCTGCACGCAGCCGTCTAACTGGTGATTTGTGGTGATTGCTCCAGCTGCTCTAGCTTTATCTAAGTTATATGCTCTTCTGCACCAGGCAATTGACTGATGGTAGCAGAGCTTAAAATAACTCAGTGAATTTGGATTTGAAAAGTTAAAAGCTCTTCTATACTAAGGCAGCATTTGCTACTATATTTGAAAATGAACTACTCTGTTGGACAAAGCACAGTGATATGTTTTATTTTACATCTCCTATTATTTATTTCTTAATTGAGTAGTGGAAAAGGATGGAAGGATATATGAATATAGAAACACATTTCTAGAGCAGAGATACAATTTATGAAGTATTGGTGATATTATATTGAAGAAATAATTTGAATGCCACACTGATATAAAAAAATGTAAGTGGCATGGATGGAAGTGAGTATCAAGACCCTAATAATATCATAAAAATATACTAGGGAAGAATATATGGGAAACTATATGTAGTGACTCTGGATCCTGCCACTTTGTTTGGGTACTCTCAATTTATTTTTTGTCCTAAAATATTTTGCTTATCACATTGTATTGTGTAAATAAAATTATAGGATTATGCTGTTAACTCCTGTATTGGCAGTGCAATTTTTGTAAATGCTTCTTGATTTAGGAAAATAACTTTTACATGGAATTCTTGAAGATTTTAAATCAAATAAGATGTGTTGAAAATTTAAATCTAAAAACAGTTTCTGGTGGTAAAGAGTAAATGAGTTTGAAAGAGTAACGCAGAGATTCTGAGGTTAAGAGGAGGGGAGGGTGGGAGAAGACAGGGTTTCCAAAGCTTCCGCCAGGAAATCCATAGCTTGACCCACACAGTCTCTTTTCCCACCTTGTGGTCTCCCTTTGTATTTAATCTTTCACTTGTGCTCTGGACTCCATTCATGCTTCTCATCAACCTCCCCATCGTTCCTGTGCCATTACAATCCTATCAGAACACAAACGTGCTCTGTCCTTTCCTGTCTTTGGGAAAAAAAACCAAGCACAAACTTCCTGGGTCCCCATAGTCCTTCCAGCAATCTCTTCATCCCCTGCTTACCCTTAACAGCTGCACTTGAGAGAGACGAAGATGTGAATTTCTTTGTGCACTCTCTTTTTCCTTACTGCCTTTCTCTCCTGCTAATTCCAGAGACATCTGTCTTTTTTGCTCCTTCATCTCCATTTATTTAGTTATTTTTATGTTTCTTTTTTTAAATTTCAGAATATTACGGTGGTACAAATGTTTTGCTTACATGGTTTGCTTTTGTACTGCTTTAGTCAAACTTATGAGTGTGCCACTCACCCAGATAGTGTAAATTGTACCTGTTAGTTATGATTTCACCCATCCCCCCTCTCCCCTCCTATCTGTGTGATTTCCTTTGAGTTTTACTTCTGTCTGTACACATGACTGCTGATCGGTTAGTTTCAATTTAATAGTGAGTGAGTACATGTGGTGTTTGTTTTTACATTCTTGTGCTACTTCACTTAGGAGTATGGTCTCCAGTTCAATCTAGATTGTTGCAAAAGGTATTAATTAATTTTTCATGGCTGAGTAGTATTCCGTGGTGTACATATACTACAAAATCCACTCATGAATTGATGGGCACTTAGGTTGATTCCACATTTTTGCAAGTGTGAATTGTGTTGCAATAAACATTTGAGTGCAAGTGTCTTTTTGATAAAATGACTTTTTTTCTTTGGGTAAATCCCAGTAGTGGGATTGCTATGTTAAATGGTAGGTCTACTTTTAGTTCTCTGAGGAATCTCCATACTATTTTCCATAGAGGTTGCACTAGTTTGCAGTCCCATCAATAGTGTATAAGTATCCCTTTCTCTCCACATCCACACCAGCATCTATTGTTTTGGGACTTTTTGATAGAAGCCATCCTCACTGGGTTTAGGTAATGTCTCATTATGGTTTTGATTTCCATTTCCCTGATGATTAATGACATTGAGCATTTTTTCATATGTTTCTTGGACATTAGTTTATCTTCTTTTGAAAAGCTTTTGTTCATGTCTTTTGCCCATTTTTTAATGGAGTTGTCACCAATTCTATTCAACATAGTGCTGAAGTCCTAGCCAGAGCAATCAGACAAGATAAGGAAATCAAGGCATCCAAATGGGGGCAGAAGAGGTCAAACTGTCACTCTTTGCTGATGATATGATCTTATGTATAGAAACCCCCAAATATTCTGCCAGGAGACTCCTGGAATTGATAAATAAATTCAGTAAAGTTTCAGTCTATAAAATCAATGTACACAAGTCAGTAGCATTCCTATATACCAAGAGTCAAGCTGAGAATCAAATCAAAGACTCAATACCTTTCACAATAGCTACAAAGAAAATAAAATACATAGGACCATATTTAATCAAGGGGGGGGTGAAAGATCTCTACAAAGAGAACTACAAATCAATGAGGAAGGAAATTGCAGATGATATGAACAAATGGAAAAACATATCATGCTCATGAATCGGCAGAATCAACATTGTTAAAATGTCCATCCTACCCAAAGTGATCTACAGATTCAATGAAATCCCCATCAAAATACCAATGTCATGTTTTGCAGATGTAGAAAAAATAATTCTATGCTTTGTTTGGAACCATAAGAAAGCCTAAATAGCCAAAACAACCTAAAGCAAAAGGAACAAATCTGGAGGCATCACTTTACCAGACTTTAAGCCATATTACGAGGCTACAGTTACCAAAACAGTATGGTACTGGTGCAAAAATGTAGATATAAACCAATGGAACAGAACTGAGAACCCAGATATAAAGCCATCTGCATATTGCCATCTGATCTTTGACAAAGTAGACAGCAATAGACACTGAGGAAAAGAATCCTATTCAATAGATGGTGCTGGGAAATTGGGTAGCCACATGTAGAAGATTGAAACAGGATCTGTATCTGTCACCACTCACAAAAATTAATTCAAGATGGATAACTGACTTAAATCTCAGACATGAAATCATAAGAATTCTAGAAGAAAATGTTGGGAAAACTCTTCTAGATATTAGCCTAAGGAAAGGATTTATGAACAAAGACCATAAGGGCAATCACAGCAACAACAAAAATTAATAAATTTAATTTGATAAATTAAAAAGCTTCTGCAAAGCTAAGGAAACAATCAACAGTGCAAACAGACAGCCTACAGAATGGGAGAAAATATTCACATGCTATCCATCCAATAAAGGGCTAATTACCAGAATCTACAAAGAACTCACTTGACTGTTACTTCATTGCATGTGATATAATCCATGTTACCCAAAACATCCTGGCTACCAAGTCCAGCAGCCTCCTCTGTTTTCATTTTTCTTCACTGTCTCTCAGCAGCACAGCTTAGAAGGCTTTCATGGGTTGAGCCCTGCACTTTCTCCAGCCCCATCCTTTGCCCTTCTCTACGCAGACCATGTTCCAGTCACACTGGTTTTCTCTTACATCTTTGGACACATCTAGCTCTTTCTCTCCTGAGGGCCTATCCCCTGCTGTTTTTATGGCAGGAGAGAGCTTCTCCACTATTTGCATGGATAATTTCTCATTCTTAGGTCTCAGCTTTAATATTATCTCCTTAGAGTTGCCTCCCTTAACTACTTTATTTCAGCTCACTCCCTGATTCTTCTCTATCTTATCTACTTATTATTTTTTCTATTTGACATCTATAGTTTACTTTATATAGTTGTGTATTTACAGTTGTGTTTACTTCTTTCTTTTCCTCATCTGTCTTACTAAACTACACACCCCATAAACTGTATCTATGCTCTGTTCACAATGGCAGCTTTGCTATCCAGAACTATGCTAGATATTATCTATGAATGAATATAAATGGGATCTAATTGATTATAGTTTATATTAATAGTATCATGGTTTCATTCCAATAAATAAGTCTTGTTTTGAATTCAAATAGTTAAATGTGAGATATAGCATTCTCAAACATTTTTAAACAGTTTCATTTTTTCATAGAAAAGATACTGCTATAAATAAACTGCCTTTTCATTGAGTTTTTCATCCAAAAATTTTAGGTAACATTTTAAAAGCTTTGGATCTGATTATAACACCTCACTTAACTGAATCTACATTCTTGTATTTAATCTAAATTAGGTAAAGGTGTGCAGCTTTATACATTATAAAAGATGCTAAAATCCCTACATTCTCAATTTACTCCTCCCTGGTCTATAAAGTTGAAGTTCTGCCTTTCCCTGAATCTTAACTTGTGCCATTGTAATTACAGCCAGAAGTGTAGAGTAATTTGAATGCTTTTGACAGGGATAGCTGCAGATAATATTTTATTTATGTAATTAGTTTGGCTTAATTAAGGGTCAAACCTGAGGGGCTTTTCCTACCATTGCTATCTATACCATGCATTAAATGCTTTTAGTTTTGCCCAGGGTAACTCCATTCCAGGACAGATAAATCCCAGCAGGACATTCTGACCTGGTTCTGTCCCCCGTACACACAAACAGATAAACTCAAGGTTCGCCCGAAGGTCCTTGTGCTTTTGATTTGTTCATCTTTTCCAAGGCTGCATTGCAGAGACATTGCTTCTGCCCTGTTTTCATTTCATTGTCTTTTCTTAGCCCCAATGTTCTCTTTTTCGAATATGAAAATAGAAGCATTATCTTCAAAAAGCTGTTGATAACTGCTCACATATCTGGGAAGAGAGGCAGACCCTGACTAGGACATGTTGCTTTTTCATTTCTACTCTCCTATAGCACAGAAATTCTTGCTAAATAGTATATTGTCAGTTAGAAATTTTAATAGATATAGGGAGTTAAAGGATAGGAAATAAAGAAAAGACATTCTGCATTAATAGGAGAAGACCTGGGGCTGCTGAATGAAGGGGAGCAGGTTGGAAGACAGGCCCCTGGGACAGGAGTCTGAGAGCAGTGAATTGACCGGAGGGCTTGGAACCCAAGAGAAGGTAACAGTGCTAAAGATAAGCTTATGTGTGGTAAATAATGAATATATCAAGTACACATTCTTCAAGTTTTATTTATCTTGGTTTTACTCCTACCAGACAAAGGCCTATGACTGTGTGAATCTTGCCCAAACTCATTAGTGGACTTTTTTATTCTGTGGGAAGGAAAAACGTATGGTCCTTATGGAATGCTCCTTGCTTTCCTGACTTTCCCCCTTTCAATCCATTCTGTACCAGATTGATTTCCTAAAACATCCCTTTCATCATGTCGCTTTCCTACTCAGGGTCCGTAATGGTTCCTGATGGCCTATTGCGTAAAATACAAACACCTCATTCCCCAGTTTAACCATATCCAGCATTATTTCCCACTATTTCTCCACTCAGATCTTTTGCTGTCTCCCTCAACTCACTCCAGATTTCTTGGCTTTGCATTTTTAAATTAATTTCTATAGAACACAGATATCTTTGATACCAATAGTAAGACCAGTGCTACCCCACACTGGATGATACAAATATTAATAAGGTAAGTGGGGTAGGGGAAACCCTAGAGCCAAATACACAGATAACTATCTTTATGCAGGTCTTTTACCTGGAAGGCCTCTCTTTTCTTCTTTTATTATGATGTAAATTATTTAATGTTCACAATTTTTAAGTCTTTATCACGTGCCATCTATTATATCAGTGCTTCTCAAACTCGAATATGAGCAAGACTCACCAGGAAAGTCTGATAAAACAGATTCTTGAGCCCCACTCGCTGATATTCTGGGTCAATACATGTGGGTTGGGACCCTAGAATTTTCATTTCTACCAAGTTCCCAGGTGCTGCTGATGCTGAGGGTCCAGGAACCATGCTTTGAGTAGCTCTAGTCTATCAACAACCCTAGAAAGTAGGTTGTATCATCTTCAATGCAGAGATGGGGAGAATGACACTCAAGGAAACACAGCTGACAAGTCATAAGTCTTATGACTTGTGAATGACAGCACTGGAACTCAGGTCTTCTAGGATGCGATCAAGTGCCGTCACCACCCTGCTGGCGGGACTGCGAACTAGTGCAAACTCTGTGGAAAGTAGTATGGAGACACCTCAAAGAGATACAAGTAGAACTACCATTTGATCCAGCAATCCTATTACTGGGCATCCTGTTACTACCCAAAGGAAAAATGACATTCTATAAAATGACATCTGCGCTAGAATGTTTATAGCAGCACAATCCATAATTGCAAAGATGTGGAAACAACTGAAGTGCCCATCAATCCATGAGTGGATTAATAAGATGTGGTTTATGTATACCACTGGAGTTCACAGAAAACAGTGGTGATCTAGCAACTCTTATATTATCCTGGATAGAGATGGAACCCATTCTACTAAGTGAAGTATCACAAGAATGGAAAACCAAGCACCACATGTACTCACCATAAAATTGGTATTAACCGATCAACTCTTAAGTGCACATACAGTAGTAATTCATCAGGTGTCAGAAGGGTGGGGGAAGGAGGGGGGGTATAGTCACACCTGCTGGATGCGGTGCCACCGTCTGGGGGATGGACATGCTTGAAGCTCTGACTCGGGGGTGGGGCAAAGGCAATGTATGTAACCTAAACATTTGTACCCCCACAATATGCTGAAATAAAAAAATTGAGGCCGGGCGCTGTGGCTCACGCCTGTAATCCTAGCTCTTGGGAGGCCGAGGCGGGCGGATTGCTCAAGGTCAGGAGTTCAAAAACAGCCTGAGCAAGAGCGAGACCCTGTCTCTACTATAAATAGAAAGAAATTAATTGGCCAACTGATATATATATAAAAAATTAGCCGGGCATGGTGGCGCATGCCTGTAGTCCCAGCTGCTTGGGAGGCTGAGGCAGAAGGATCACTGCAGCCCAGGAGTTTGAGGTTGCTGTGAGCTAGGCTGACGCCACGGCACTCACTCTAGCCTGGGACAACAAAGTGAGACTCTGTCTCAAAAAAAATAAAAAAATAAAAATTGAAAAAAAAAACCATATTCCAGGAAAGAAAACCATAAAATAATAAATATTTTAAAAAGGACTGGAAGTAGACACCGTAATAAGTAAAAACATGGCTTTGTAAAGGTATCAGTCTGGGAGTGATGTGTTTCTCTCTTATCTGTAATTGGTTATATTAAATTTCTAACTAAAATGTACTTATGAACATTTGTTTTTTAAAAAAAAAAAACTATTGCATCCTACTGCCTGGGTACAGTCTCAGGCAGAAGAGTGAGGACTCTTCTTTGTCATCATTTATGGTACTTAGTACCTGGATTAGTAGTTCTCAAAGTGCAGTCCACAGACCCTATGGGTCTCTGAGATAGATCCTTTCTGGGTAACTTAGAGGCAAAGCTATTTTCCTAGTAACACTAAAACATTATTTACCTTTTCACTGGGTCGACATATGCAATTATGGTGCAAAAGCAATGGTGGCTTGTAAAGCTGCTGGCATTTTAGCCTAAATCAAGGCGGTGGCACCAAACAACTGTGCTAGTAGTCATTGTATTTCTTCATCACCATGTACTTGCAGTTTAAAAAATGCCAGTTACACTGAAGTAGTAAATTGTTCTTAAATCTCGGCCTTTGAGTGCATGTCATTTTAACATTCTATATGACACAATGGGAAGTAAGCATAAAGTACTTTGGCTGCATTATGAAGTCTGATGGCTTGTTGAAGAAAAGCACTTGTATGTGTTTGAGTTGCAAGCTGAACTAGTTGCTTTTTTCATGAATGCCATTTTTACTTGAAGGAACAACTGACAGGTAAACTAGGGTTATTCTAATTTATTTGGCAGACATTTTTTAAAATACATAAAGTGAGCCAGTTGTTTTTTTAAAAAGCAACTGACATTTTTTGTTGTCAATGAAAATAAATTGAGTTCTCATAAAAAATTCTAAATTTGAAAATTCTATATTCATCACCATGAGCTAGACAGTTTCCCAATACCTAAAACTTTTCTAATTATATGGCTGGTGGTATTAATGATTGTGATTTTTGGCTATATTATGAAATGGGTCAGCATTTGGAAGATCTGAACAGTTTACTGAACCAGTACTTTTCATGTGGCCAATGCATTATGTTATAAAGTCATGCATGGTTCACAAAAAGGTCCATTTAATGTGCAAGATAGACTAATGACTTTTAATGTAATAGAATACAAAGAGTTCATGTAATGGTTTCCAGTGTTATATGTTGGTGTAGTATCAAAGAAGAATAAACATAATTACCAGAAAAGGCTATTATACTACTCCTTCCTTTTCTAATAACACATCTGTGTGAGGCCACATTTTTTTGTAGATTTTAATCAAACAATGTATCACAGCAAACTGAATACAGAAGCAGATATAAGAAGTAAACTGTCTTCATTAAACCAGATGGTAAGGAGAATTACAAAAGTGTTCATCAATGCTACTATTCTCACTAAAGGAGTTTGTTTTAGAAAATGTGGTTTTCTAAAATAAAAATATTTTATTTATGACAACATACAATGGGTTTATTATTGTTATTTTAAAGTGAATCAATAAGCAAATTTTTTTTTTTTTTTTGAGACAGAGTCTCACTTTGTTGCTCAGGCTAGAGTGAGTGCCGTGGCGTCAGTGTAGCTCACAACAACCTCAAACTCCTGGGCTCAAGTGATCCTCCTGCCTCAGCCTCCCGAGTAGCTGGGACTACAGGCATGTACCACCATGCCCGGCTAATTTTTTCTATGTATATTAGTTGGCCAATTAATTTCTTTTTTTATTTATAGTAGAGACAAGGTCTCGCTCTTGCTCAGGCTGGTTTCGAACTCCTGACCTTGAGCAATCCGCCCGCCTCTGCCTCCCAGAGTGCTAGGATTACAGGCATGAGCCACCGCGCCCGGCCTGTTTTAATTTTATTTTCTAATATCAACTAAAACCTATAGAATTTTTAAGAGTATGAAGGCATCCTTAGGCCAAAATATTTGAGAAGTTCTGGCCAATTTTATGAATTTTGGTGATGGATTACATTCGCACAGCATGGAAATAGAAATGGCCCAACCTTAAAAATAACAAGAAAAAAACACTTTTTTTGTAACTTTGCTAAAATTAAAACAGTTATTGGTTACAATGGTAAGTGTCTGGAATAAAGAATCCTATCATGCAAAGTACTTTTCATCAAGTTTAAGTTTGTCTTTTAAATCTAATAATACATATATACAAGTTAAAAAATAAAATTACATTTTAAGAGTCCTATTTTAATCTTACTACCTGTATTTCATTTTCCATTGGCAATTCCATGTAATTCTTTCAGTGTTTTCCCCTAATACTGACTCCCTTGATCAACCCCGCCATGTGCTACTTCAGTCAGACAGCCTCACTCATCTCTAGAGGGTGTGGCACTCGTTCTGTTCTGTCACCTCCCAGTGACCAGCTCTGCAGGGACACCAACAAACTTCACTGAGCCTTGTCCTAACAGCCCCTCACTTCCAGCTCACCGCCCACGCATCTTGCCTGTCATCAGGGCTTCCCTGCTTCTGCACTGCTCACCTGATGACTACGTTTGCTTAACTCAAAAATGTGAAGTGAACCTTTGACCAGTAAGGTGTGGAAGCTGGTGGTTAAGTCGCCCCCCCTGCGCTGCAGTGGACTGTCTCAAGTCATAGTCATCTCCACTAGGGGCCATCCATCAGTCCTGCTTGATGTCAAGAGTGGCTGACTTGGTATCAAGGATTAATACCTTGGCAACCACCTTTGATGGGTGCTCATCCTGTCCTTGCCTCAGTCCGCCTCTCCCTCATTTCTCCTATTAAGTGAGCAGCACATCAGCCTTTGCTTCAGTCTCTGCTTTTTGGGGAACCCAGGTTAAGACTCTCTATTTATCTAAACATATGTAAACTCTTACTTTTTATTTTTCAATTTAAAATATTATCAATTAACTTTTTTTCGTAAACAATGAGGATTTGGCTCTTTTACATCTCCATTCCCCATTCCCAATGCATTTGTCATCCATTAGTCCCTCTACAGGTTATACTTTTTCGTTA